GCGAAAACTCTAAGTTATCGCATCATAAAGATGCGAAAACTCTAAGTTATCGCATCATAAGGATGCGATAACAATGAATGTTGATCAAAACCCAGATTTTTATAACTCATGATTTTGTCACTCTTATCCAGGTATACACATCTCTTTGATATGTCATTTTTATCCCAGTATACACCTCTCCTTGATATGTCATCCTTATAACCAAAAATACATCTCTCCTTGATATGTTACTCTTATTCCCACAATGATATAATCATAACAAAAACCCATAATTTTGCCAATTATGACATCAAAACAGTTTTATAACTGTATTTCATATAAAGAACCATATGGTTCTATACTCAATTTCCAAATAAGGAAAGTTGACAAAATCAAATTCACCTTAATTAATTCACGTAGATGAAGATGAAATAACAATAATCTCCTACGTAGAAACCACATAATCAATTTCAATCCCCCCCCCCCCCCTTTATGTTTTCTATTGATTTGCACCCAAAGGACACACACACAAAACCAATGAGGTAAGATAAATATCTCAATATCCATTTTAAACATTAAGAGGCGGTGGAGATTGTATTTTTATATTTTAAAATATTAAACATTTAACCAAGTCAACCTCTTTAACTTACCATCATAATTCAAAAACCACCCCGAACTTTATAACCGAATATGCGGTTATCACAATTAGTCATAAAGACTTGGGATCATATGCGATAAGACTGTTTTCGTGAGGCACGGTTTTTATACTTGAAACTTTACAGCAAAACACTTGAAGGTATTGTGAATACCTTCACAGTGTTTTGCTGTGAAGATTCAGCTTTTTTTTACCTTCACAACATTTTGTTGTGAAGTTTCAAGTGTGAAAATCGTGTCTTATGAAAACAGCTATGTCTCACGTGAACCCAACCCTAGTCACAAAAGTGTCAGCCAGTTTTATATTTTCAAAATTGAATTGTTTAAGCATGTCTTTTGCGTATTTAGATTGCTTATAAAAATTAACAGTTTCAAGTTTATTTTTACAAATAGGGTGTCATCTATTTCATCCATCACTTAGCCACTTTCAGTTAAGAATGTTTCTATACGATCATAAAAATGCATAAGGAGTTTGTTTGTACTTTCAAAACCGAAAGACCGTGTAACATCCACTTCCTCAGTTACAAAAACTACTTTTGACATCCATTTGGAATAACATAAGCTAAAAGCAGGGACGTTAATGGAGGAGGGCGGACATGCGCATGCCTAGTGCCTAAAAATATTAGGCCCAATTTTTTAAGTATATGGCAGTAGTTTAAAAAAATTAGTACATAAAAGAGACCAAAAAAAATTTAGTACATAATAAGAGCGAAAAAAATATTAGATGATAAAGGCCCAAAAATGTATTAACTAATCATATCGGAAAAAAAATGGTCATTTGTTATATGCTACCAAGGTCCGATGCTATATTGGTTATTGTTATGACTATTTGTTTGTCGTTTTCGTACTTCAACAATTCAATGGATAACAACTTTAAGCCCAAATAAACGCATTCAGTAAATTCTCTTATGTCTGTCATGTTTCATAAACTTTTAATTATAACATCTTATTTGTAGAGGAAAAGAACGAAAAAGAAATTCAAATATTTTCATCAATTGTTTGACTTATTCATCTTATTGAGATTCCGCTACACACTACAAGATCCTATTTAAGTGTTCAACCATCTGTTGAGCTTGCACGTCATGTCTCGTTAATTATTTGTTCTTATTTGGTCTTAATGTATCATCTTTTATTCAACATTCTCACTCATCCTCATTTGACTTCTTGTCTAGAAAACTTTAATAATTTTCACTTCAATCACATGAGTCTTCTTTTTGTATCAAAATAACATGTATTTCTTGTTATGAACTAAGAACGCCCTATCTTATGATAAATTACCAACCACAGTAGATGGTAAAAATCATATCATAAACCACAAGGGTGGTGTCTGATTGGTTTGAGCTTGGCTCCAAAAGTCAAAAGTACCAGGAGGTCGCAAGTTCAAACGTAAGGAGGAATAAAAATCTCATTGTGGCCACAGAGGTTCAAATATGGTGACTCCGAGCTATCTGCAAAGCAGATGATCGCTCTAAGATTAGTCGGCTCGCATAACAGGTTGGATATTCAGATTAATTAAAAAAAATCATATCATATTTTTGGAGTTCAAAACTAACTTTGTTTTTCAAAGGTTACATGAATTTTAGTACTCTCACATTTATAATTAACAAGAAATAAACTTTCTTTCCTTAAATATTTGCATTATTTGTATTCATTTTTTAATAATACAAGACATTCATTGAATACTTTTTAAGTACTTGTCAAGAGCCTTGTTTTTACGCACATCATGGTCTATAAAATGTCATGCATGAACCAAAAGGGTAGTGCTTGATTGGTTTTAGCTTGGCTTCAAAGGTTAAAAGTATCAGGAGGTCTCAGGTTCAAATCCAAGAAGGAATAAAGATTCCCTTGTGGCCACGAAGGTTCAAATGTGGAGACTTCGGGATATCTGCAAAGCAGGTGGTTGTTCTGGGATTAGTCGGCTCGCATAGCGGGTTGGATATCCAGGTTAATAAAAAAAAATATCATGAATGGGTCTGCCTAAAAGCATTCTCTCATTATTAATACTTTCTTGTTGATTATACCCTTCAGCAACTAAATATGTCTTGCTTTATGTAACTCCACTATTTTCATGTATCTTCTTTCTAGAAACCCATTTATAGATTCGCTAAGCTATATCCAAGTAGGGATGGCAAGAAAAAAAAAAAAAAAACCCGAACCCGATTTGACCGTGGAATCCCCGAGTTGACAGGAAATGAGGACGGGGACGGGGAATCCCGGAAGATAGGGATATCTCTCGTCCCGGATCTGAATCCGACCCGATTATTAATAATAAAAATTATACATATATATAATAATATAAATGAGAAATTCAATGAATATATGTAATATATAAATTCATTATTTATATAATCAAATTTTAATTTTGTAAACTTGTAAAAGCAATTAAATTATCGGGTTGATTGTTTATTGGGAAACTTTTGGTGATAACAACATAGTATCAAATTTCAGATATTGAATATTGTAATTGATATATTTGTCTGTGAACTAGTTTTGTTTGATGTTATTCTTAGACAAACACAATAATCGGGAATTGGTTTATTAACGGTTTAGTATACTATGTCATTTAAACGTGAAATTAACATTTATATATATGACGAATGATCATGTGAGAACAGGAATTAGTGTGAGAAGCGTAAGAGAGATTTGGACTCTTGATTATTTTTAAGTCACTCTCTCACATCATGAATTGCGCTTGATCGAAAATTGATCCAATGCATCTCGGTGCATCTCATTACTGTTGATCTTCAATTAAGATTAATACAAAGGTAGATACCTCTTCTTACCCTTCTCACCATAACTTTCATTCTCATTGGAACTCAACTCTTACACACACACATATATATATATAACATAAAGATATTACGTAAAAATATAAATTGCCTAGAGGGGAAAAATCCTCGATTCTCAATGGGGATGGGGATACAATTGTGTTCCTTGATCGAGGATGGAGGGAAGTGGCGATCGGGGATGTGGATGGGGATTAGAGTAGAGTGACAATGGGTCAGGTTGGGTTCGGTTCGGTTCGGGTTCAACCATTTATTAAACAGGTTGAAAATCTCCACTCAATCCAACCCAGCATGTTACCTAAAGAGGTTGACAATGGGTTGGCATATTTATGATTTTCTCAACACAACCTCTTAAATAAATGGGTTGAAGTTGGGTTAACCCATTTAATTTTAAAATTTTATATAACATAAAAAGGATTAGACTATTTGATTTTTTGAATAAAACACAACTACAACCATAAATAAAAATATATTGTTCAAAATTTGAAAAAAACACAATAACAATAAATACATTGTTTAAAATAAATTGAAAACCTTTAATTTCTAAGTAACTCGACTTCCACTTTCCCCAACTCCAATTTTACTCTCGGTGTTACTTTCCTCTTAATCCTCTATCTTCTTTGTCATGATTGCTCCACATAGCATCTCAAGATGCGATTCCATTTGTGCTATAGAAATAAATTGATAAATTAACTTGGTTATAGTAAATACATGGTTTTATATGATAATACGAAATATACAAATAAGAAGTTACAACAAACTTTCTCCATATACCCAATCTGTTAGACAAAAAAGGGAATGAATAAAGAAAAAATTCAAAATCTGTGTTGGACAAGAGACTGGAACAATGAAAAGAAATCAGTGAACAATGAGAAAATTTACTAGTTACCATCTGCGATTAAGACTGGAACAATGAGAAGACTTCAGTGAGTTCCACCGATTTCGTACCACCGCACCGTGTTCGGCGAGAGGCGGAGACCAAAGAGGGAGATTGATGACTGTTGTGTTGGTCCATTGGAGCCTTGGAGGCGGATGAGAGAGCTGAGAGGGAGACTTGGAGGCGGACAAGTAGATTATTACTTTATTAGGGTGACAAAAAGAGAGCGTTTCAATGTTTCATAAAAAAAATTAGATATTATAATTAAAAATAAAATTTTAAATGAGTTGAAAACAGGTCAAAAATTTCAACCCAACTCAACCCATTTATTTAAATGGGTTGGACATGTTGACTCATTTACTTAAATGGGTTGAAAATCTCGACCCAATCTGCTAATTTTAGGTTGGATTAGCAGGTAAATACTTTTTCATTTAGAATTACATTAATAGACGGAGAACCAGGTAGGGTTTTTTTGCCATTTCTAAAGGAGTAAATTAGAATAGAAAAAAAAAAAGGTTGAGGTAGCTTCCCGCCAAGGCAATTCAGCCAAATGGGGGAGGACTGACTGTTCCCACCACACCATATGCACATGTGAAGCAATGCATATATTCTTTGCTCTAAAATCTTGTAATCCACACTGCCCCTATCATCATTATGAATACATACCTCTTTCCTTCCTACCCAACATCATCATCAAACTAAAAATGGATTTCAAATTGGGTTTAAAGTTGAAGCAAGTTTCTGATGAGCTTGATGTCTTGATCTCCAAAGCTGAATCAGTAGACCCCCTTTTCACCACTCAACAAACAGACTCCATGTTCATCCTCACATCCCACCTGAAAGGTTGCTATTTTCCTTTCTTTACTTGTTTACTTTCTCTGCAACTATCTTTCTGTTATGTGATTTCTTATTTTTGATGTTTGTAACCAATCAAAGGGTATGCAAGAAGTGACATAAAGATTGAGATAAATGAGGATGGCAGTAGAATTACTGTAAGTGGTGAAAAGCCGGTTCAAGAAACGTTGATGGTGGAATGTGAAGTTGTCAAGAAACGAGTAGAAATGAGGGGGTTTCGGAAAACGTTCAAGATCCCTGAGGGAGTGGTTTTGGATAAGGTGAGGGCTAGGTTGGATGAAGATGAATCAAGACTCGTGATTCGGATGCCAAAAGCGGTTCATGGGATCGTGGGGATTGGGATCCAGGAATTGGAAGAAATTCCAAAGCAAGATGATGATCATGATGAGATGAGAAAAGTTGATGAACAAATTGTAGGATCAAAAGGCGAGTTGAAGCAGGAGGAACAAGTGACGCGAAATGACAAAGATACAAATGAAGTTAAACCGGATAACGAGATCCATCAAGAATCGAGGCAAGTACACAAAATTGAAGAGGAGATTAACCATGATATCGAAGACAAAGTTGAAGAGGAGATTAATCATGATATTGAAGAAAAGAAGCCGGTAGCGGGTGAAAGAAGTTCCATTATATGTACTCCCATCATAGCTGGATCAGCATTACTTGCGTCGCTAATCGTGGTCGTTTTGAGCTTGATTCGATCTAAAAACGAATCAAACAAGAAAACAAATTAGCTGGGATTTATTAATTTTCTTGTTTGATCTTAAATTTTTTGGCTATTGTTGAGGTTGTTGATGAATTAATAAGAGTGATGGGACTTGGTTTAACATAGAACAACAATTTGGAAATCATCAACCAAATCTTGGTAACGTAATTCGGTTCCGCAACCATCATGTGACAGGTGGATAATGTCTAGATTCGAACACGATAACACAAAAGGAAAAGCTAGAAAAGTTTTTAGTGAAGTAGCAAGTAACAATTCTGGTAAGCAGATGGATACATTCCCTTTACAACATCTAATTGATATTTACTCCTGTTCCTGTCCTAGATATCATCATCATCATCATCATCATCATCTTTTCTCAGTTGTAATGGAATTTTGTCTTTGGATGGCTGTTATTATTACCACTCCATGGACCTAACTTTCCTCAACACACATCTTGTTCCTTTTTGTTTCTCTGTAACTGGAATTATGTTCTCCATCAGCTGAAAAACAGTGTAACCGCATACTATTATTTGACGAAAAAGAAGAGAGAAACGACGCTTTAACATGAATCACTTTTAGCAATCATAAATATTAAGGATGATAGAAGAAGGCTATCAAACCCTTTTATACATCATATACTTCATAATTAATCTGTAATCAATCTCTTCTTTAGGCTACCAAAGTTAACCTGGGACAAAAGGAATCAATGCTGTTCTTAGTTTCTTCTTGTTTGAAGCTACGACAATTGGTTTCTGAGCAAAGATGCTTTAGGAATGAATTCTCCTTGTTATTTCTCTAATCTCGAAATCACAGAATATATAGACTAAAGCCAGCCTCGTTCTAGGGGTTAAACATATTTACAGCAAATCAATGACCCTAGATACTGTCAACGCTCCCCCTTAAGCTGGTGAATAGATATCAATCATTCTCGGCAAATAAAAGTTATATTTCTGGTTTGGATAACGCCTTGGCAAGAATTAATGCTTCTTGCTACCTTGTTGGAACCTAGGAGATATGTCTTGTTCCTTAATCAATTTCATATCTCCTATAGAACTCCCATCAATTCTCGCATGTTTCTTCTGGCCATGTTGGAAAGGATTGTGAACTATGTTGATTGTTTGATTTGCTCTCACTGTATAAGCTTCATAGGACCTTTTCTAGGGAACTATAGGTCTGATAGGAGTTTCTCAATCCAACTAAGAGGGAAGATTGGAACCACTCTCTGAAGTTGGCATCGTTGAATTTGTGTTGCGTAATTGGAAGGGAAAATTTTCAGGGGATGGGTATGGTGAAAGGTTCTGCAAAGGTAGGCTTCATTGAGTGACAGACTAGGTGGTTTCAAGGGTTTTGGGAAGGGAATAGGCTTCACACCGTCAACCATTGCGGGCTCTAATACCACGAACAGACTTCTTATTCTATAACCTCTAAATTACAAAATATATATAGATTGAAGTCAACCTAATTCTAGGAGTTACAAAAGGAAAAGATTGAAGAAATTATCCCTAACCTACCAAACCAATCAATCAGCAATTCCCCTTTTTAGTATTTACAGCACTTCTTAAGACTAACTACAAGCAAATTAATGACCCAAGATACTCTCGCAACAGTTTCTAGCACAAAGGACAAATAAGGAAAATCGACCTCCCATCAGGTATGAATTTCATGCCCTTCAACGAGTCAACAAAAACCACATGCTCTTCTTCTTCAGTTTTCTAGCATCTATAAAGCATTAGTGTTCAGATACTTCTCAAAGGTCAATGAATATCATTTGCAAAGCCAATACTCGAATGCATTCAAATGTATCAACTCTATTAATTTTGATCCGTTTTCCTTTTACTTTGAAGAATTGGACAACTATGGAGACTTTTAACGTACGTCCAGATATGTGAGGGGTTCAGCTGTGATTTTGCCAATGATACAGGGTGGCTTAGCTCATCTTGTTTTAACTTCTAACCTATAGGTTGACTTGTATAGGGACCACAATCATAGCCTAATGGTGAAGGCCTCTCCTTTTCCTGTGTGAGTCACGAGCTCAAGTTAGAACCCATTCACCAATGAAGGGCAGCATTGTGTCTGGTCACTTGAAGTAATTTGTTCTTCTAAAGTAATGTTTGGATTCTTCTGTTATAGTTATTTCATGTAAAATATAGCGCTAGCTGAGACAATGATGAAAAAGATAATCCTAAGCTTATACCTTCTGGATATGTTGTAACAGATGCCCATACTTCAAATGAACTTAAAAACATTTGTTGAAATATCAAAAGCTATGACAATATATGAATCTTACATGTACAAATCCTACTTTTCTGAAAATACAGATAGTGCATGCCTAGCGCTATAGTTGAACTTCAAGGAAGTCAATGACTCATTGCCAAACATTTGAGCAGATTTATGGAGCAGCCATCAGGCATCTTGAGCTCTTGACTTGTCTAGAGGAGATATTACTGGTTAACAAATAGTCGATATAGTCATGAATACAGGTATTTTGAGTAGTTGCTTGTTGGATAGTGGTTCTGCTGGATGTAGATGAAAGTTAGGAGTCATCCAGGTTAGGTGTTGAGGAGTCAAGTGGTCTTGGTGCTAAGGAGACCCTTAATGATGTTCAAAGGATTGACAGGCATGATGGTTGGAGTCACTTTTTGGTCTCTACTGTTGATAAGTCCCTTTGTAATGCCATATGGGCCTACCTGGTCAGTTGACTGACTCACTCTGATTGGTCTCTGGTGAGAAGCCCTTCCATGATCCCTTCAGAACTGACCAATGTGGCGTCTGGACTCACCCTGTTTGCTTGGTCCAGCTCTTTGAACTCCCTCCTATTGGTTTTTTTTGTTGATTGTGAATTGCTTCCTTATCTGTTTATTGGGTGGAATCTTACATTTAGTCTTGTTACTTTTATTAGGAATGTTTTTGTTGTTTGGCAACTTCATTTGGAATCTGCTTGGATTTGATCTTGTTGGCGGGTTGTACTTGGACTTTCATGGCCAACTCTCATGGATCGAATTTTTTATTTTGCTTTTGGTTTGGTTTCGCTCTGTTTCTTCCTGCTCTGCACCGTATTCTCGTATTGCTTCGTAATTGATCTTAATGCAAAGGGAGTTTGGGCTTTCTGCTCCTAGGTTCGTTAAACCGAATAAGGGAAGGGAACAAGCTTATTTTATTTTTTGAAGATTAGGTTCATGCTTTTTGTATGTATTTTGTTTGGCAAGTTGGACATATTTAATGTCTATGCTCCAACTTGAGGAGTGTTAGAAGATAGACACGTTAACATTAGGTTTTATTGCTTTCACCGGTTTAGGTCTACGGACCCATTTAACATTTTAGCCAACCCATTTAAAAGGGGCGGACATGCTGAGGGATATATATGCATTTTTCACACTTATCAAGTTGAAGACTGTTCTAACTATCAACCATGCAAAGCCCCTTTTATTCCTTTCAGCTCTCTAATCATCCATTTCAACTATCTAGCATATTATAAAATAGACAAGATAGTATATTAACCCAGATCCCATTGAGTGAACCACATTATATCTGATTCAAATTAATGGCGGAGGAGCCAAAGAAGTGAAGTAGCTCAAGTTATTTTCTCTGAAAATATAAATTGAATTGGGTAACGAAACAGTTAAAATTCAATGCAGTTCCGACTAAAATAAACAGGGAATGTGAAGGAACCCTATGGCGCATTATAACAGCTGGGCTCTGTCTTGCCTTAGTATCCTGAGCTAAAGCACTCTAATACTGACTCGGAGGATGTAATTTGACAGACGCACAATTGTTTGAGCATTCACTAACAAGTGAATGCCTGAGGTCAATTGCTGTTCTTCATGATAACATGCCTCAGACCGACTTGGTAGATCTAGAAGCTACAAAAGACGAAAAAGAAATATTTTACAAATCACTGCAAGATTCCTAGTGCTTTACACCGAATCATCATAGAATCCCATGAAACACAACTAAAGCTGCTAGATGGTGTTCCTGCCCAACAAAACAATACTCAACCACTTCTAATCGTATATATTTTCATTAAATAAGCTTAAAAGGAATATATCTTTACTGTTTTTGATGACACAACACAAGTGTCCTCTTTCATGCAGTATACTGATACAATACAACCCTCCATCTCTATCTTTTGTTTTTGTCTTCATTTATATAATTGGTCAAAGCCATTACACTACACACCTTAAAAAGCACGTCTAAGGAAAGTTCTCTCAAAAGGCACATACAAAAATACATTATATCTATATGCATTCGCAAACTCGTCTTGGCAAGCCTGTATCACCTTCATCAATGAAATGAGTAAGAAAAGAGTCTCTAGATTAGAAAAACTAAGGATGAGTTCTACGCTAATTGATTAACTGAAAGAAAGGCGGATGCAGCATCACCAAAGATAAACTTAGAAAAGGGAGGTTCTTAATTTATGTGAAATTTTCAATATGACCATTCAAACTAGGAGGGATGGGGTAACACCAAAAATCCATCTATACAAACATCGTTTCTGCAGCCATGCCCAATAAGTCATGAATATACCCTTCCTTTTCACTCTATTAATGAAAACACTTCTATATATCTAATCAGAAGCAATATAGCATGACAAACCACCAGAACAAACTATTCATCTATACAAGAAGTCAAGTTATTTATAACGATGGTGAACTCAAATCGAATAGACTGATACTTGTGCACTCAAATCTAGTGCTTAGTGAAGTTCTTATAGACTGCATCAGTGTGTCTGAAGCAACAAATACACACAAATATTAACATGATAATAAGGCTTTTTAATGCATAAAAAAACAAGGAGTGGAATTAGTTTCATACCTGTTTATACCTTTTTCTAGTCTGCTCTGCCTGAAACAAGGAGAGAAGTGACACGAGTAAGCTAATAGTAAGTTTCAAGTAAAAACTCAGAAATAATATATATACACACACAGACATGCATATTTAAGGCAACAACAAATTTTCAAGTAAAAATACTAAGAAAGCAACACATACACATAAAATAACCACTTTATAATGAAGAAACACAATTATTGTGTACTTCACCAATTTAGACCATGCATAAGACATCATAGTGATACCATTACTTAGAGATGGTCAACGAACATTCAAGGCAAATCATACCAAAAACAGAAAAGTACAGATGAAAAGTTGACGTTACAATTCAAGAAACAAATGCAAAAGTGTACCTTTGCTTTCAATAAAGTCTCGTTCTCCTCTTCCAATTTCACTGCTAATGATTCCAGTTCAGCTTGGTATGCCTAAACAAGCACTCATAGAAAATAAAGTAAGTCTTGCAACTACCAGGACACAAAGTTATCTCATAGGAACCCCAAAATTGGCTCAATCCAATTAAGCTTCATACTAAACGTGATTCCCTTTGTTAGCTCCCCTACTTCCTCAGGTTACACCGAAAGGGGCAGGTTACAAGACTTTCAATACTTGAAAAGAGATAATTATCAGGGGGAATGAAAACTTACCTGCTTCCGTTCTCTCGACCTTGCAGCAGACTCTCTATTCTTAATCATTCTTCTCTGCCTCTGCTGTGCAGCCTTATCTAATGGCTCCAAGATTGCTCTTCTTTTCCCTCTACCTCCCATCTCGTCCACTCCAATCCCAAATCCTACCACACCATCCACATTGGGTGGATGAATAGGATTATCAAAACTGAAAATCCCTCCACTTAATCTCTCACTAGGTAAAGGTGGAGGGGGGATTTTCACGTCCTCTTCCTCCACTGCCCCAGCCTTAGCCAAGAAATCTTCTAAAGTCATCATCTCGTCTGGCACCTCCTGCTTACAACTCCGGCCTGCCACAATCTCCTTCCAAACATCATCCACAGTCTTTTGTCCACCATTTGATGAAGTACGGACTAGAATTCATGGTGCAAACAGATAGGCATAACATTAGAAACAATGAAATTGCGATTTCTCTTGGACTTCTTAAAGAGCACATAAGTCCTTATATGTAAAAAAAAGAAAATTCAGATAATTTACCATTCTAAATTTGTCAAATGGATCTCAGCAAACAAAAGAAGAGTAGAAGACTCTACTAAGTTCATATTTTCTTTGAACAAGATTCCACAAAATGCGAATGAAGATTTAACATGAAATTATCTTCAATCAAATAGGCTCATCAATTGCATAATAGATATTTTCGAAGATTGCTGAGTATATATTAATAGCTAGTTTTAGAAGTAAAACATATGAACTGAATGATTTTACAAGAACAAGATGGCTTCTTTCTAAAACACCGACTACAATTAAGATATACAATTAATCTTTAACATAATTTTTCTAATCAATTCACTATTTAAAGCTCAGACATTATTTTTAACTGGCTATTACTGTAACCCTTTTCAGAAAGAGGTTAAGGTAGGTAATCAAAATAGATTACCTCTCCTTCCAGAAAAGAATCTTTGAAGTTCAACCTGGTATTTTTCATATTCAAAATTGAAAGAAATATTCCGAACTGAGTGATTCCAAACTTTAATATTTCTTTAACAGTTCAATCTAAATTTCAGCTTCCGACCAAAAACATGCCGATCGAATTCAATGCCAAAAATAACTAATTTGACGGATGAATGAGATTTTTTGTTGTTGCTCAGCATACATAATTATCCAAATGTTATTGGCAGACTCAAGATTTCAGCATAATTAACGGTCAGCTACTGATTCAAACAAAACTGAACAATGTATAAACTAGAATGCGAGTTAGATGAAGAAACTAACCACGTTCTTGACGGCTAACAGCGGCGGGGGTGTCGGTATCGTTAATTGCAGTAACGGCACCCGCAGCGTCTAACAGAGTAATTTCTGCATCCAACAAAGTACTCTCAGGAGCTTGTTGTTCGTTGTTGTTGTGAACGGTTGGCAAAAGACCGTCAACGGTCATGTCGAAGACGCCAGAATTGTTATTGATTCTGATGCTAGGGTGTTTGTGATGGTGGTGGTGATTTGTTGAGGAGGAAGAAGAGGAAGAATTAGAGGATTTTCGTCTGATTAGATCCGAATTTCTCGAAGTAGACGACGACATCTTCATCATCAACTTAGAGGAAGCCATGTATGTATCATCCGGATTTGTAGGTAGTTTTTACTGTTTCATGGGAGTATGTGATGAATGGGGAGGAGCGTAAGCTAGGGTTTGAAGCATGATTTGGTTCGTCCTTGTGATTTGTTGGGCGAATCGATATTTGTTGAATTTTATGAACGGAAGGGAATTGGATCGAGACGGAAAGGTTTCTTCACGACAACCCAAGAGAGAGGATCAGGAGGAAGAAGAAGATGATGAAAGAATTACAAAAAGAGTCCCTCAAATATTATATGTGTACGCATGTTGTCCCTCTAATCAAACACTCGTATCCATTTTTGACATAATCGTTAGTGTTTGGTAAAAAAGTCAGATGACTACATGTGTTGTTTCATTTGTAGTTTAACGGACTTCTACATTATATGTTTATATACAGTTTAATAAGTTGATGATTTCAATTTTAAGTCATTCGGATTCATTCATAGAGGTTGACCTATTTATATTTTACAAATAACTTAATATAAACCACAAGGGTGGTGTCTGATTGGTTTGAGTTTTGCTCCGAAGATCAAAAGTACTAGGAGGTCTCAGGTTCAAATCAAATGAAAAATAAAAATCCTCTCCCTTGTCCAGTAACACACAAGCGATCTCCTCTCCCTTTTCATCCTCGTCGATTTGCTCCCCTTTCCTTTTCTGGTAACACAAAGACGATCTCTCAGTTTAATCCTCCATATCGAGCCTAGATCTCGTTCTCACGATCTGCCCTTCTAGTACATGACAACCTCCATAGTCAACTTGTCCTTCTCCACGATCTCTACAGGGGACGTCTTCCCATCAGCATACCTATCAAATCGGAACACAATGAAGGAGTATAGTATTTTTGATTCAATGTTTGATTTAGGTCTAATATTTGGGTTCTTGATTGAGCGGGTTTTGATTTAGATTTTTGATTTTAGGGTTTATATCACATATTTTTAAACGACTTTATGGCAAAATTGTTATATATGTTTATTGTTTGTGATTGTATTTTGATGTTCTTAAAATTTTATTATTATGCTTAAATTGGGTGGTGTGTAGCGGTGAATGGTAATGGTGGTGGTGGTGGTGGTGCGCGTAGTGATTTAATATTTTTATTTATTTGTAAAAGGGAAAAAGATTAAAAAATATAGATAAAAAGACATAACTATCCCTAAGGTTAATAGAAGTTTTTAATCGGAGTTAGTGGTACAGATCCAAGACGTTATGAACTGTAAATCATATGGACTTTTTTCATAATTATTTTATTTTAGGGGTACATAATATGATTTTGAATCAACCACAAGGACCAAAAGTGTAAATATACTTGAAAAACTATATAAGTTGTTTATCCAAATACTCAAAAATGTTTATTATCAGTGTCACACCAGAATAAGTCAATAAATTATTTTTTTAAGCAATCCCAAACACTCCGTAAGAGCTTTTCTGATGCAGTCTTTTCTAAGCTAAAAGTACAATGTCTTATAAGAACTATCATTATGGAGAGGTTCTTACCGGATAAATGACTTTTATCACGGTCGGTTCTTACCGGATAAATTGTTGCATAGAAAACCATTTTTGTTGAGTAAATAATAATATTGAATTTTACTGATAAGTGCTTACCGGATAAGTGTTTGGTAAATAGCCCGTAACTCAATTATTGATAATGGCTACAAATTTATAGCAATATGAACTTGATCAAATGAGGTCATAAGTAGTTACTGAAAACGAAGAAAAAAGAATACTTTAATATTTTCAAGATTTATCACATATTTTTACAATGTGTCGTGGCATTACATTTTTATGTTTTAAGTTTAAATGAAAGTGAAATAAACCGTAAATGTTATTTTAACGAAAGATTTAGAAAATTATGTGAAATAACAAAACAAACATTTATATATAATTCATTTGTAGTAAGGTTTTATTTTAACTTAAAATGTATTTTTTGACCAAGAAATTCATCACATGGGTTAGTTGTGGCTTAAAATTAATTATTATTCTAAAGTTGTGTTTGTGAGAATATTTAAATCGCTTAGATTTGCTTTCAAAAGAGATAATCATTAGAAAAAGAAGGTTGTAATATATACCCATAAGAAACGGTTCAAAAATAAAATATATCATATCAATTTATGTATCGAACGTAATTTATGAAGTGGGAATGAGATTAAAAATGATTAAAGGTGCAGATCATTTCTTACGCTTATTACCTTAACTCTTATTTTCACACGGTACTTTGTATATATATATATATATATATATATTAGAAGGATACTCGCGCAATGCAGCGAGATACATCGAGATAATGCTTCGTTTTATTTTGTCTCTGCCGATATAATACGGTTTTATGTGACTCAAAGAAAGCGACAATGCTTATATTCATAAAAAATTAAAAAAAATATATCGATATTAGTATTAAATTAACTATTTAAAAATTATTGTTTTTTTATGTAATTTATTTCCCATGATTTTATTTAGGTTTAATAACAAAGTAATTTATTTTTGATTTAATAATCTATACTATATTATAAAACATTTGACAAAAACTCTTAAAACCCATTTTTTATACATAAAGTACTGTTTATTAATGCATGTTACTTCAAACTCAAGATTACAAGTATATTGTACGTAGGTACAACTTATTAAAGTTTCATATCTGAATTCGTGTAACTAACTGTAGATAAACATAATCAAATATAAGATAAACATATCATTTTAAATATATAAAATCTAAAATATAATTAGGAAATCTAAAATATAATTAAGATAATCATTGAGTTCTAACAGAATCTTTAATTATTATCATTATAAATATTATATTAT